GTGACTCATCGCTGTGACCCCTGGTGCTAGGTCCAGTTCCTCCCACCTGTATCTCCCGGATGCTAGGCCCAGTTGACTGTCAGTTTGTTATCCCCTTTAGCTAGTCCCATATCAAGTTTGGATACAAGGCTGAATTCTTTCCTTGTCAGTAAATCTTTGGTTCCCAAAAAGAAAATACCTATACTTCTCAACATCTCAAAATATTAACTAGCTGTGACTGCAATGTTTCTTCGACCATGTCACTGCAAGTTTGTTGTTTCAGAATTGTTCAGGGTCTATTGTAGAAATTCTATTTCTGTGAGGCCCTAGGAATGATAGAAAATAATGCTGCACTTTCTGATGTTATATGTTTGGAATCTCCATTCTTGTTTCTTCATTACCCCTTTCATTTTGATTTCTTTCCTTTCTTTCTGTAATTTTCTGACTTACATTGAGTGATGAGATGACATAGCCTGTGAAGGGAGCATGTAGACCATACTATTTCCAATGGAATGTGGTAATTTTCGTTAGAACATAAAGTAGAAGCAGACGACAGTGGTGATACCTGCTGGGAGTATCCAAATATTACCTCACTTAAAAATACATAAATAAATTTTAAATTAGAAAAAAACATTAAAATAAATAGGAAGCAGAAAGGTTAGTCCATGTCTGGTAGACTCTCTACACCTACGAAATTCAGTCAATGGACATATCTCCCCAATGATAGGGGTAGCACCTTGGTCCTAGATAAATGTCACTTCTGTAGACACTCCTAGCACAAGCCCACCTCTGCCCTCAGCTTCTCCTTGTCTCTCTGTGGGGGGAGGGTAGGGTGCACCTGTACTACAGGCTATTTTCCATTGTTCAAACAGCTACCTAGCCTTGGTGCATTCAGGTGAAATCCATAGCTCCTTTGGCAGTCCAAGATCAGGTGGGTTCATAATGCAATTTGGCACATAATTCGGAATGAGATGAATACATGGTGTAGTCTAAGTTCATGGTGGTATTTGGCCAGTGATCCAAGATTTGCATTCTGTTATTTTCAAGAATTTTCCCTATTTAGAGATGTCTGCAGGGTCTCTTACCCTATTTTGTTTACCTCCAGGTGCTTCACTAAATGATGGACAGTGGCATTCTGTGTCCTTGTTCATTAGAGGAATTCACCTGACTGTGATAGTGGACGGTGATGCAGCGTCCCTGACTCATTCCCTGCAAGGGCAGATTGATTTGGATGCCATCTATTATGTGGGGGGTAAGTGAACAAAAGGGGCTTCATCAGCAGTCAAAATATCTTTATTTTTTCGACTGCTGCTTCTAATGAAAGCTAGTACTGAGGAGTTAGTTCTCTCCTTCAATTATAGTTAATGGTAATGTCAAGTGGACAAAGATGATAAATATGATGTAGCATGCAAGTCTTCTAGGTGATCTAATTTACATGTGCATATAATAACATTTGTTTTAAATTTGACATTTGTTCTCAACAATGACTGCCTGTTGCAGTCACCTGGGAAGTTTCAAAATGTCTCATACCTTCCCCACAGATTCTCATTTAACTGCTTCTGAGGTCTGGACAACAGGATTTATCATGTTCTACAGGTGATTCTCTGTACAGACAATGTTAAGAATCATAATTCTTCATTTCTTACCTTCAGTACTTTGCTAGGGGACATTTTTCTATTGCAAAATGCTCTTTATAACTTTTTCTTTCATTTTGTGTGAAAATTTTATTGCAGCATGTTGGTGTACTTTTCTTTTATCTATTGGCTACACTTATGCCAGGAGCCAGGCTGCTTAGTGTAGTCCACAGGCAACATCTCTTGGAAGCCTGTTGACAAGACAGCTATGCCATTCCTGACCTCCAGAACCAGACTCTGCATTTCTCAGGATCCTCAGGTGTCTGTTATAAATAAAGATATATTCTATCCCCACAGTCTGTATAAAATTGACACCATTATATACAAAGAACAAGATTGGATTTAATGACTATTACTGTTTCGCTCATTGCTGATGGTGATGCAACTTACTAAGACACTGTCAGGCTATTTCTGCTCAACTCTAATAAATAGCAAGATTCTTTGAATGAATCTTTACAAGACCCTTTTAGCCAGGGGTGGGGATATTTATAAGCCTGATGAGTTTCTGTTCCTGGGACATTTGAGTGAACAGACCTGAGCCTTGAGTGCTCTAGAACATCAACCTGAGCCTTGAGTGCTCTAGAACATCAATAGTAACACTCATTTCTAATCTTAATACCCCTTGACATACTCCGGTTTAGCATTTTATATTTGTTAGATTCTAAAATAATTTGGGGGCATAGTGGAGAGAGCTTGATAGCCCAACAAGAAACTATAACATTCCCCTTAAAAATTGACAACAAGCAAATAAACCATGAATCAGGGTATTTAGCATTTCAAACCCCCAAAAGCAGCCCTTACTATGAAGGGTGAAATAGTGCCAGCAATCTCAAAACATCGGATTGCTCTCCTCTTTGCTTTCTAAATGCAATGTATTTGTGACCCAGATTGTTTTTTGAACCTTTACACTTTTGATAGATTTCATGGTTCCACAGAGGAACAAATTCCTTCAAAACCAAATAAAGAATTTATCCAAGTGCTGTACTTTATAAGGTAAAAAGATTTCAAAGCACTCAAAGGTATAGAAAGAAGAGCCTTGCTATATTGTTTAATGATACAAGTGAAAAATACTTTTAAAATCACATGCTCATTTTTCATATGGGAACATTCTATGTATTCAGAATGTGAACTGTAAGCTACTTGAAAGTAGTTAGTTCCCATACATATTTACATGCTGATGAGATAAGAATCAGTTGTTGCTATGAAATAGAACATATTCATATATTTTAAAAGATACTAGTGGTGTTTCTTAAAAAATATATGTGGGTGCAACTCCTCATCTGTAAGAAGAAACATAACTATATTTTTTCATTGTCATGACAATATTTTTGAAGCTTCCCTTGCTCCTTCAGATTCTCATTCCCTCAAGGAATTATTACCCTGCATTTTTTAAAATGAATGTTTTACTGCTTTTCTTTATAGTCTATCATCTATGTAGGCAGATTTAAATGATACATTATTTTATGTTGCCTAGTTTTTAACTTTATAAAGGATAATGCTGTCTGCATATTCTGTGACTTGCTTGTTTTTTGAGATCCAATCATGTGAATATGAATAGGTAAAGTTAATAATTTTTACTGCTTTATGATTGTTGATACATATCATACCACATTTTACTTATCTATTCTACTATTCTATTTTATGATTGATAGTCACTTTGATTGTATCCAGTTGCTATTATAAAATATGTTGTCAGTATTCCTGGCTGGTGATTTTAAAGTTGTCCTTATGTGGATCTACCATATGAAGTCTCTGATACTACTCCTAGGTATCTGTCTGAAGGACAGATACACTAATTTGAAAGGATATGTGCACTTTTATAGTCATTGTAACACTATTTACAATAACTGAGCTATGGAAACACAAATGCCCAATCTAAGTACCCAAGAATAGATGAGTGAATCAGAAAGATGTAGTATAAACATCCACTATTACTCAACTGTTAAAAAAGATTAATGTTTGTCATTTGTGATAGCATGGAAGGAACTGGTGAGAATTATGTTCAGTGACATGTCAGAAGAAGAAAGACAAATACTGGGCTGTGTCACTTACATATGGTACATAGAAGGAAATAAAAGGTCAGATAAATCCAAACTAATAATTAACCACAGAAATCTGAATGTAGAACTTGGCTACAGGGCTGGGGGAGAGGGGAGAAGTGAGAACAAAGAGCGGAAAGCACAGTGGACTATGGGCATTTTGGTGGTGGGTGTGGTGTGGTAACAGCACCTGAAGGGGTAGATTCTGTACCCCTGAAACACAAAGAATATTGTAAGCCAATGTTATCTAAATAAAAAATACATTTAATAACATACTTGTACCACTAAGTTAGGGAATAATAATTTATGACCAGAATTGCCCAAGTGTGTTGTATGAAGCATTAGCAGGCCGGGGGGGGGGGTTTAATAACTCTGTCATGGAGTCTCACCTGATGACATTTTCTGCTGTGGTGACATAAAGTGACAATTTCTGCTATCCTCAGAAGTACTTAACCTCTGACTTGTTCAGTCGTGATTGATAAGTTTCATTAATTTAGCAGCAAGATTCACTTACACTTTCCCTCACAAATCAGGTCATCGATGAGGGAGCCTCTGTCATTCCAGCATCCTGGTTTGGGGTAATCTTCCACATGGATTCGTAAACCTCTCCCAGCTGAGCTCATTTGGGCTCTGGGCCCCCTTGTTTCTTCACCTTTCTCATAACTGAGGAGGTGAAACTCTTAAGTGACTTGATCTTTGCTTCATTACACTTTCACTTTCAGAAAGATTTCCTTTGACTCACTGAACTTGGTTTCATTTCATTCCTAAGAGAATGAATGAGTTTGAGCCTTGTGGTCTAATGAAAAGGAAGATAAACAGAAAAGGAGCAATGATGATTCTGTAAAATTATTTATTGATGTAATATTCCCTTTCCCTTCTGGTGTACTTAGTTGCTAAGTATTATAAGTAGAAGTCACCTGTAAAGGTATATCATATTTCTTCCAAATATATTCAACCCTTCAGAAATTAGCTTACAAATATATTCAACCCTTCAGAAATTAGCTTACAAACTGAAATGTGTGCATCTTCACACAAATCAAGAAATCTATAAAAGAAAGAAATCCATGAAAAGAAGGCATATCTAGTGCTGGTTCTATTTTGTAAGATGACTCCATTCTTGTCAACTTTTCACACATGGAAAGAAAAAGAAAAATAAACTTCATTCATTTTATGGAAATGCAGGGTAGCAAAATAAACTTCCTTCTGCTCTTTTAGGTTTTTTTTTTTTTTCCTGAGATTTCACTGTAATAAAAAACAGATCAACAAGAAAAAAACAAACACAAGTTTACTTACTATGTATTTCCTAAATGCATAGAAGATACCCAGAAATACTAAGTAACTCCCCAGATAACCTAAGTCACCACTTTAAATATCAACTCCAGCTAAAGACAAAAGAAGATGTCTGTTACAAGATTCAAATCCATAGCTTCTCCATTGATAAAGATTTTTAGGATGGCCCTCCCTGGTGGTGCAGCAGGTTAAAGCACAGCACTGAGAAGCTTAAGCCGCTTCCACATGATTTCGATTCCCGCCTGCCCCGGAGGAGACCACATGGCGTGGCAGATCTCTCCTGACCCGCCCGCTGCTCCCCTCAGCAGTGTACTTCGTTGACCTGCCTGTTCTGCTCCCCGCTTTGTCTCTGGTGAAGCCTCTCTCCACCCCTGCACCTCTGGCCTATATCCCATTTCTTTTTACATAAATAAATAAATCTTAAAAAAAAAAAAAAGATTTCTAGGTGCCTGATCACCCTCATCTTTGTGGTGCAGAGAGACGTACAAGTAAAGAGCCCCCCCCTTATCATCATAATTTTTTCTTATAAAAGGATATCTTCTTATTTTCCAGAACTTTTCCCTTAGTAGCCAGCTCTCCAGTTAATCTTCATGCCAAAGATCATAGCTTCAGGTGGCAAGTCATGATTTTGTTTTCCTTCAAAAATTCTTAAATAGAAAGTTAGCATGCATTACGTAGGTTGAATCTCAGTTGCTGCTCCTTGAAAATGAGCCTATCAGTGATGCTATGATGAAAGTGCAAAACAGGATGAGTGAAAACCACACAAGTACAATGAGTAAGATATTTAAGATTATTTCTTCAACTTTATTTTAACAGTAAGAAAGTCCTGAAGTAAACTCAAACCCCATGCTGTAACCACTAACATAAGAATTCCATATTTACATGACTAGAAAATACAAAGCAAAAAGATGAATAATTAATAAAAGAAAAATGTTGTTCTAGAAATAATATAAATGAAACTTTGTAAGACACAACAATGAAATATTTTCATGTTGAAAAGCTGAAAACTTTTCCTATAAAAAACAAGATAATGATGCCTACTTTTGAAATTTTATTCAACATAGTATTAGAAGTTTTAGCCAAGGCAATTAGCCAACATAAAGAAATTACCATGAATTGAAAAGAGGAAGTGAAACTTTCAGTATTTCAATATGATATCATGTTACATGTACAAAACCCTAACTCCAAGAAAAATTATTAGGAATAATAAATTCAGTAAAGTTGCAGGGTGTAAACTTAATTCACAAAGTCTGTTGTGTTTCTGTAGAATAATAATGAACTGTCAGAAAGAAAAATTAAGAAAGTAATTGTTCTTGCAGTTATATCAAAATGAATAAAATACATAAAGATATGTTTATTCAAGTAGCTGAAAGATGCCTTTATTGAAACAATAAGACATTAGTGAAAGAAGTTGAAGGGCAAAAATAAATGAAAAATATCCTATACTCAGCAATTAGAAGAATTAGTGTTGTTAAAATGTCCATATTGGGCCCTCCCTAGTGGTGCAATGGGTGAAAGCACAGCACTGCAAGGGAGCTACAGCCCTTTCAGTGGAGTTAGATTCCCTGCCCTGGAAGAGCAACAGACCTCTCCTGACCTGCCCGCTGCTCCCCTCAGCAGTGTACTGTGTCAATCTGCCTGTTTTGCTCCCTACTGTGACTCTGGTGAACTCTTTCACTTTCACCTGCACTTCTGGCCTGTACACCAGTTCTATGTGCATAAATAAATAAATCATTAGTTAAAAAAAAAAGCCCATATTACATTAAAAAATATCTACAGGTTCAGTGTGATCCCTATCAAAATATCAATAACATTTTCCATAAAAACAGAAAAAGTCTTAACATTTTGGTGGCAACACATTATACCCTAAATAACCAAAGCAATCTTGAGAAAGAACAAAGCTAGAGTAATCCCATTTCCTAATTTCAAATTTTGTTATAAAGCAGTAGTAATCTGAACAATATCATACAGCATAAGAACAGATATGTAGATGAATAGAATAGAATAGAGAACCCAGAAATAAACCCAGATATAAATGATCAGTTAATTTGTGACCAAAAAAAAAAAATGATAGACAATAAGAAAAGAACACTCTCTTTAAAAACGCCATTGAGTGAACAGCCACATACAAAGAATAAAACCCCACCCGAGTCTTACCCCCCACACAAAAAATAAACATTAAGTGTTTTAAAGACTCGAACATAAATCTTGAAGCCATCAAATTTCTGGAAGAAAACACAAGCAGAAAGCTTCTTGACATGTCTCAATGATGGCTTTTTAAATCTCTCACCAAAAACAAAATCAAACAGAGCAAAAATAAACAAGTAGGAAAACAAGAAACTAAAATACTTCTGTGAAGCAAAGGAAACTGTCAGCAAAATGAAAAGGCAAGGCCTCCCTGGTGGTACAGGGGTTAAAGACACAGCACTATCAAGCTATAGGCAGACATTGTGATGTGAGTTTGATCTCCAGCCAGGGAGCTGGCCCACATGGTACAGCAGGCCTATCCTATCTTACCTGCTGCTCCTCTCGGCAGTTTATTTCAATAGATCTGCCTATTTTATGCTCCCTACTTTATCTCTGATGAATCCTCTCACCACCCCCCACCTCAGGAGTTCACTTCAGTTCTTATATGCATAAATAAATAAATTTTTTTAAAAAATGAAAAGGCAACATACTGAATTGGGGAGAAATATTTGTGATTATATATCTGAACAATGGATAATATGCAAAACGTAGTTAAGAACTCATACATCTTAATCACAGTAATGAAACAATCTTATTTTAAAAATAGCAGAAGATTTGAACACTCAGTTTTCCAAAGACTACATACAGATGGCCAACATGTACATGAAAAATGCTCAATAGCATTAATCAACAGGGAAATGCAAATCAAATCACAATGAGATATCACATCATACCTGTTAAAATAGCTATTATCAAACAGAGTAGAAATAATGGTCTTGGTGAAAATGTGGAGAAGAAGGATCCCTTGTGCACTATCAGTGTGAATATAAAATTGGTGCAATGACCCTTGAAAAACAGTATGTAGGTTTCTCAGAAAATTGAAGATGGAACTATGTGATCTAGCAATTCGATTTTTAAGTCTATAGCCAAAGAAAATGAAAGCCCTAAATTGAAACATGCTTATTGCAACATAATTTATGATAATCAAGATTTTGAAACAACCTGTGTCTGTCAATGTATGAATGCTTAAAGAAAATGTGGGGTATATACAATGGAATAATATTCAGCCATTAATTCCTGTAATAATGTGCAATATTTTTGATGTAACTTATTTCCTCCTGTGTCTCCATGTCCTGTGTTCAGGCTGCCCTGACAGTGACTCAAGCTGTGGAAATCCTCTGGGGGCACTTCAGGGCTGTCTGAGGCTCATCTCCTTTGATAACAAGACAGTGGATCCCATTTCGGTGCAACAGGGGCAACTAGGGAGTTTCCGTGACCTCCAGATAGACACTTGTGGCCTCATGGACCGGTAAGGCGATTTCAGGTATTTTAAATGCCTGTTTTCAATCTTCTGACAGTAGAATTAAAACAATGAGGTACTGGGAAATTGCACCACCTTCTCATCCCTTCTCTTTTTCTCATATCCATTTTATAGAGGAAAATTATTTTTACATTGTAAACAACATTTAAAGCATCTCTCTTTTCAAACAATACATGCTCATTGATTTCCTTTTGTATGCCCTCAAACTACTTAATTCTTACAGAGTACTCTCTATGCTGTTATAATTATTAATGACTATAAATGTTGACAAGTCCAACTGCTTTAAAAATACAAATACATTGTACAAATACATTACTGGAAAGAGATGATGAATTATAGAAGACCAGTAACTCAGAATCATTTGTGGTCAGTTAGATTTAGCATACACTCTTTTTCTACAGGGGAAATACAAAGTAACTCTTCTTTTGAGAAAGGTGAGAGCTGCAGGGATTTTTAATGATGCTGTGAGCATCAAATAAATAAATAAATAAAGAGACACTATTATCACATGCTGACCAGGCCACTAAAGATGGGTACAAAAGGAGTAAGGATAAATGGGGGAAATTGTATGGTGAAGGATGGAAACTAGATTTTTGCTGGCAATACTATACTAATATATAAATGTTGACTTTTTTTTTTGAGTTAGAATGATTTTTTATTTTTAAAATTATTTTAATAGAGATAACACTGACTTACAACACTGTGTATGTTTCCAGGGTACAGGGTCACACCTCTGCAAATGTGTGTTCTCATACTGCCCACACCATTAAAGCACCAGATGTTGTTTTATAATTTTGCTCATCTGAAGCCTCTCTTGTGTTATAAACCAACATTACATCAATAAAATTTTTATAAGAGTAACATTAAAGTTGCCAAGCATTGCAAATCTATTCAAGTTATATTATTAGCCGTGCTGTCTTTCATTTTGGCTAAAGGGGTGACTGAAGGATAACAAAAAAATGTTTTTGGATGTGACATATATAGCTTTGTGCCTTCCCTGTGGAAGGAGTGTAGTGTGTTTTTGTTGAATTAATGAGCACGCTTCTGACACTCTCACACATTCAAATACAGGAAATATCTTGACTCACACTTGGCAGACTATTTTGTGGAATAAATCTATTCCATTTTGACACTAATTGGAATCCCATGTCCTGTTCAATAAATTACAAGTTACAAATGCAATTTCATCATGTATTATTAGAAAACCATCAATTTCCAGTATGCAAAACATGGACTTGTGAGATCTTAATTTTCAAAATAGATGCTCATGTTCATATATTGATAGTCTATTCATTTGTAGAGATAAAGAGATTCAAAGAATTTCATCAAAAACTCTCAGTTCTACATGTCTTTTGCAGCAACTTGGATGGAGCTGGAAAAGATCATGCTTAGTGAGATAAGCCAGAAAGAGAAAGAAAAATATCGGATGGTTTCACTCATAGCAGGAGTATAATGGACTAGGCGAGAAAATAACAAAAATATGAACAAACATATACCA